GGGGGGGGGGCCCGCCGGTAGGCGCGGCGTGCGGGCGGTGCTCCTCGCTCGGGCTGACGCGGGGGTGCCCAGGCGCGGCGGCGCCGCGGGGACACCGGGGGTGCGGGCAGCCGGCGCGGGGCGCGGCCGGGCGCGGCGGGGGCGCTGGGAGCGGCGGCGGCGGGGGCCGGACGCGCTGGCGCCCGGGCGGCTTGCACGCTGAGCCGCCGCCTCGGCCGGCTCGTCCCTGCGGCTGCTGCCTGGGCGGCCCGGCGTGCGGCCCTTCGCCATGTACACCTTCGTGGTGCGCGACGAGAACAGCAGCGTCTACGCCGAGGTCTCCCGGCTGCTGCTCGCCACCGGCCACTGGAAGAGGCTGAGGCGGGACAACCCCCGGTTCAACCTGATGCTGGGAGAGAGGAACCGGCTGCCCTTCGGGAGGCTGGGTGAGCCCTTCCCCCTTTCCCGCGCTTCTTTTGTTTTGGGGTCATAAATCTCCCCCTCCGTCGTTCCTCGGGCAGATAAAAAATGCATCCATGAAGGTCTAAGCCCACTGTTTGTAATGCTTTCTCGTCTCCTATATCAGATTCGGGGCCGGAGTCGCGCGGCGGCCACTGGGGCCGCAGCTGCCCCGGACAATGGCCGGTCCCTGCAGCCCGGGGGCGGCGGCCGCGCGTGCCCCTTTGCCTGGGCCCGACGCCCCCCGAGCGGGCAGGTCGCTTGGCCTAGCGCGGGGCGGGGCGGGGCTGCGCAGAGCCGGCGCTGACATCTGGCTGGAGTCATCCTGCAAATTTTCTACGCTGAGGATTCCGCCCTGCCTGCTGTTGGCGTGGGAGGGGCCCTTGGGTGTGTTGAAAACCCTGAGGATCCAGCTCCCCGAAGGCTCAGATAAACTCTCAGGGGATTTGGGAGAGACCTCTGGATTCCAAAAGCAGGAGCTTCAGAAGTGAGCCGCGTCCGCCCTGGGCGGAAGGTGTCTGATTTTAGATCTTTTCTTAGCTTCACCAGAGTACGTGTTTTCAGTTGTGCTTTGAACGCAGACTTTACATGACACTGGATTCACCCTCCGTCCCTCTGTCTCTGCCCTTCTTTCCCCGAGGGAGTTCCCTTCATTCACGTGGTTGCGGCTGGCTTGGCACCACCACATCCACATGCCCGCCTGTAGGAAGGGGCAGAGGAGAGGCGAGGACCAGCCTTTTTAGGTGACGTAATCCAGAAGTTGTGCAGCTCGCTTCAGCTCACATCCCGTTGACCTGAACGTAATCTTACGGCGTCTCCTTGCTGCGCAGTCATCCGGAAAGTGCAGCCTCTCTCAGGGTAGCCTTGTTCCCTGCCAGAATTCCCCAGGGATGGGGACCAGATTGTATTGCCGAAGACAGGAGGGGAGGAGGGATAGTGAGGAGAAGTCATCTTTGCCTTCGATAGCAGCCCAGAGAGAGCGGTGTTCTATGTCCGGGAGAGGAGACAGTTTTTAGAAATAGGTGTGGTCAGAGGGTGGAGAGGTCCAGTGGGCAAAGAGGAAATAGGCCGTTTGGAACTGACTGGCTGCTGGTGAGCTTACATAGAGCGTTTAGGTCAGGGCTGTGTACAATTGTAATGGTTTCAGGAATGGTTTGCGGCATAGCGTTTCCGAAATTTTTTCTTGGGGATAGTGCCATGGACAATGTTTTATTGTTATACAAGTTTATGGTGCGTGATGGGGACTCCATGGAAGGGCTGATTCCAGCCCCCAGAAATCTTGGAATAGGGGAAGCGTGCCTGGGGATTCCTTTTTCTTAAACTGTGTCCCTAGGAAGCCCTCAGCAAAGAGAATACCTTCCCCGAAAGAAGAAGGAAAACTAGTTATAGTCGAGAACATGTATTTCCTTTTCACTCTGTGAGCTTCCCTGCCTGACTGACTTACCTCCCTCTTTAGACTGGACGGTGCCTGGCTGTAAAAGCTTAGCTGGAATCCTGATATTAAACACAGACAAAAATGACTCTGCGGGGGGTGAAGCAGGGGCGCTTGGCATTGCTGTGGTGCTCAGCTGGAGGGAGAAAGAGCAGAAACCTAGAAGGTCCAAATCCTGAACAGTTACCACGAAGTCAGCAGATGACCAGTAAGCATTTGGTTTTAATGGGAAAGAAAACAGCATCCCACAACCAAAATGGTTGTGTGCCTTCACTGTTAGGGATGTATAGCTTTTGCTTAAAGTGCGCTGTGTGAAACCTAAGGAGCTGGCTTATCGGGCGGGCTCAGGGCTCAGGGATGCTGGTGCTGTGCGAATGGGAAGGTTGGCAGTTCAGGTGTGAGCCGTGTCTGTCTGCCCCAGGGAGGCAATGAGAGTCAGTTGGTGCCTAAAACTTTTTGATTGTGTGCTATTCTCAGATGAATTATTCTTACCTCTGGCATCTTCAACTCAAACTCCCTTTGTTTGGTTTTACTTCTATTTTTGTGGTTGGAAATTCAATGCATTTTGTTAGAATTTCAAACAAAAATTGAGGGTTTTGTTTTTATTTTGCATCCTTTCTGTTCTAATGTTATAGAGGAGGAGACGTGCAGTAAACAAGGTCTGTTGAAAATGGGTTTCCCTGTGGGAGGACGCAGAGAAGAAAGTCTTCAGGGCTTCTGATTTTATAGACATGGCCTCTCCACTACTTCCCTTCACCTTCTAGCATTTCTCCTAGAAGCTTACAGAGGTGGCCACGCTTGAAAACAGCAGTATCATAGTCTGCCTTCCTTGATGGCTGTAGAAAGCAAGGTTAGGGGGGTCAAAAGAGAGGCTGTTGCAGACTGTTCATGTACAGAGATTACTAACAAGTCCTTATGTGTTAAGCCGAGAGTGAGGTGTGGTGGGGATCAAGGAGAGGTAAAATGGAAATTACGTCTCCACCCTAAGGAGAAAAAACAACGGCAGCAGTGGTCTTTGGCAGACCTACGATGTTGATACGACAATATCCGTTATGGGGAGGGTGAGAGTCCGCCAGTGGGATGCTGAGGAACAGGGGAGCACAGGGGCAGGGCAACACATTGTTCCGTTTCCAGCAACCAGTCCTGAAATGGGAGAAAGAGAAGCTGGGTGTGACACAAGAGTTCTCTCTCCTGCGTGCTGGCGCCGACGTTATCGTTTGCCACCTGTCCTGTTTCCCTTCTGAGCCTCCTCTTTCCCTCATAGGTCACGAGCCTGGGCTGATGCAGTTGGTGAATTACTACAGGGGGGCAGACAAACTGTGTCGCAAAGCTTCTTTAGTGAAGTAAGTGTTCTTTAACACCTGTGTTTTCCATTTTTTACATAAATGTTTTTAGCTTTCCTCCTGAAGCACTTAAGCAAAAATGTGGGATTCTTTTTTAAAGGGCAAAAATTCTTTTATTTAAAAAGCCAACAAATATTAGTTCTGGAGCATCCTCTGTGCTGCTTGGATTGCAATCCCAAACTTTGCTTGTTTGTACTTAGCTGCTCTGTCTCTTAGGTGAGGGGCCCTAGAAGCAGAGCGTGGGACACGGTTTCTTGTGTGAGTGATTTATGGGGGAAAGACTCTCAGGAGAAGCTCGTCTGGAAACAAGGGGAGCAGGACAGCAGAGGAAGAAGCCAAGCAAAGAGGTTATTTCTACTGAAGTCTCGCCTCAGCCTGAGTCTGTGGAGCTTGGGAGTGAATGGCACCTCAGAGTTGTCACATCTTGAGGCAAGGGGACCAGGCTCTGTACTCCAATATCAGTCAGCCACTGGCTGTGGGGAGAAGTGGAGCACATAGCCTCCTTGGCATTTTTGGGCAGGAGCCAGACCCTGGAGAAGGAGCGTGCATAAGCCCTTGGCAGCCAACTCTCACAGCGGCCAGGGGTCCCCTCAGAAAGGACACCTGGGCAGGGCATGGAGTATAACAGGATCTACTGCACTGCCCCCTCTGTGTCACAAGAACCGTCTCATAAGGTGTAAGGAAGCAGTATTACACAGTGATTAGGATCTAGGATCAGCAGCTCGGGTTTTAATCCCTGCTCTTCCTCTTATTAGCTTGGGCAAATTTCCTCATCCTCTAAGCCTCAGAACCCTCCTCATAAGGTGCTTTGGGAGTTAAATAAGGTGATGCGTGTGAAGTGTGTAGCACAGTGGTTCGTAGTGAGCGTTTGACTCAGTGCCTTAGCTTCCTTCTCTGTAAAATGGGGATAGGAAGAGTAACTGCCTCAGGGTTGTTGTGAGGGTTAATTGAGTTAATTTATGTAAAGGCTTTCAATAGTGTCTGTCTCTTAGTTCACACTGTATAGGTGAAAACTCTTCTTTTTCTTATTACTATTACTGGTTGTCACTGCTACTATTGTTATTTTAGTAGAGAAGCCTTGGTTTGGCCCCTAAAATCAGAGCTGTGGCAGGTTTCCACTGTTCTTTCCGTGATGACCAGTGAGCATGTGTGTGTAGCCACACAAATCGTTTAGGTAAGAAGACGGTGGAAGATATGACTCAACGCAAATGCTCTTTTCTCCACTCACATTTCTTTTTTGGACTCTGCATAGGTTTTTGTTAGGTTGAGTGTTCATAGGAGTTTTTCCACCTTTTTGTTGAGACTCGCTGGCCCCAGTAACTTATGTATCCACTTCTCTCTGTGATGGGTTTCTGTGTGTCACTAGCTACCCCTAAAGAGTCCGAAAGCTACTCCTAAAGGCCTTCTGAAATCTTCTTAGTACATTTTTATATATTTAGAATGCAAAAGATTGTTTCACCAGAACCAGGAGTAGGAATGAGACATGATTGTTTGTCCAGATTATTCATTTAGAAATTTCTATAAAATGTTTATTCAAGCTGTTTCTACTATAATTTCTTTCCTCTAATGATAAAGGTAGAATTTTGCTTTTATAAGTAGGAACAAAAGATGCTGTAAAAAAAGAAATATATATATATATATATATATATATATATATATAAAATCTACATATTTGCATAATTATAGTGAGGTAGAGTACAAGGCTAGAGTCATGACCAGGTCTGAGTAGGTATGGAGATCTCCATGACCTTGGACAGCACCTCTCTGAATTCCAGTGTCCCATCTGAAAATAGGGATGGTCATGATCATATCTAGTCTTTGCCCCTCTGTGGCATGTGGCATTGTCTGTGATGGCACCTCATAAATGGTGGCATGACTTATGTAGGCTGGAGTTGTCATCATCCTCATAAGCTTCCTTCATTCTCTCAGGTATCCTGCAAGGGATTGTAGTAATTTCGGGAGGTGATCGTTTCCTTTGTCATTTTGTCTCTCTCGCATGATTTTGTATGGTTCAGAAGGACTCCAGAGGGTTAAAAATGTCATATGCCTCGTTTTAGTAGGACACAATGGCAGCTCATAGAGGAAAGCTGGGTTGCCCATGGCCATAGCAGTTAGTGTTGAGTGAGGCCAGTCCTAGTGTGTACAAATGGAGCCCATGGCCAGTGTGACTAGGCAGCCCCCAGAGGGCTACCCAGAACCTTGAGAGAGTTCTACACTGGACCCTGTACAGCAAGCGCCTGCCTCCTGTCACTTCAGGGAGTTTCAGAAATTCATCAAGGTCCTAAGGCCATAATCGCAGAACCCTGAATGGTATTTTTTCTGGTCCAGGTTAGAGGCTTTCTTTTCCTTTTCTGAGAGTTTCTCCCTTGTTCGTGTAAATAAACCTCCATTTATGGTTTCTTTTCAAATGGGCTTATGAGGAAATGGAACAAATGCAAAGGATGCTGTCCAAGAGAAATAGAATGCTAGCCACATGTGTAATTTTAAATTTCCTCATAGCCACATTAAAGTAAGTCAAAGAAACAGGTGCAATTTATTTCAATAGCATATTTTATTTAACCAAATAAATCCGAAATATTATTTTGTCATTTAATTAATATAAAAAACAACTAATGAGGGGCTGGCCCCGGGGCCTAGTGGTCAAGTTTAGCACGCTCCACTTTGGTGGCCCAGGTTTGGTTTGCTGGTGTGGACCTACACTGTTCATTAGCAGCCATGCTGTGGTGGTGGCCCACATACAAAATAGAGGAAGATTGGCACAGATGATAGCACAAGGTGAGTCTTCCTTAGCAAAAAAAACACCAAAAAAACAAGTAATGAGCATTTTACGTTTAATTTACATTAAAATGTGTATTCTACATTTATAGAGCATCTTAATTCAGACACTAAATTTTCATGTGAAACCCTTAATCTGTGTTTAGATTTCATAAAAACTTATGGTTGTAAAAGTAGACTTACTCAAGTTGTTCCCACGTGCATAAAAGTTTTTCAGTAGCTGAATTGGATATACAAAAAATCATTTTCCTATAATATTTGCATGCACATTGACAAAACTTGTTCATATTTTTGGCAGAATTAAATTGAAAAGAAGCTCTAAATTTATCAAATCAACAAAATGTTCTTCAAACTTTTCTTTAGTTTTTACAGCCAATTTGCATGATGTTTATTACAATTTAAATCTGCATATTGAGTCATGTTATAAAAATATGTAAGATCGTTATTATTGACTTTTATTGTGAAGTTGGAACATGAATTCTCACACCTGTCTGGCTACGTCATAAATAAGGTCTTCTTTTCCCTGCCTTGAAGCTTTAAATTTACTTTGTTCATATGCAGTGTGGCTGTAGGTGAGAAAATGTCAATCACACTGCCATTTTTGATCTTTGATTATTGAATGAAATAATTATTGAATGAAAATAATGATTTGACAAGCATTCGTTTTATATCAGGAAAATCTGAATTGGAATTAACAATACAGTGAATCTTTGTGAAACTCCTTTCTCTCTCAATCAGTGAGCGTTGGCAAAGAACACAGTATCGTTAAATTCATTGTCTTCTGTTTCTTTCAACAGTTCCATACTGGTGAATCATTGTAGCATTTTCTAGTATACACTGAACCATTTGAACAACTGTATCCATGAGACTTTTCAGAGAATGGGCTTCGGGAACCTGAGGGCAAATGTTTTCAATATGTATCAGACAGTGCAATGAAGTAAATGTCTCCAGTATGTATCATGCAGTCGAATGAAGCAACAAAAGAAACGTCAGTCTATTAAAAGCCCAGTAAATCAGATTTTAACTCATCCCAGCTGAAGTCCTGTCTGTCATGATAGAAACTAAATTTTCACATGTGGGTGAAATTCTTCTTTGGCAGATGTAAAAGATTCAAAAATATCTACACCATGAGTTGATATTTTTTAGGCTGCAATTTGACAATATTTCTTCATATTTGGAAATTCTTTGAGGCAGAACATACCCAAAATATTAAATGGGAAGCATCCCATGTCACACAAGTCAACTAAAGCTAAAGAAAAAATTCAAGATTTTCCAGATTTTGAATCAATCTTTGATGTTGTTAGAGAGGTTAGGTACTCTATGGCAATGTTTGTGACTTAATTAAAGATTATCCACTTTTTGTAAAATATCCTTTTTAGTCTTTTCCTCAAAATATTTCCTTTAACCATATTTCCATCTAAAATGTTTTCCTTTTTTTGTGCAAAAATGCTAGCCATTTTGTAACTGGCCAGAGTTACAAGTTACAAGCCTGTTAAAAATTTGTTTAAAAAATTTTTTTTGGATATGTAGTTCGATTTCAACCACCAATTTCCTTGATTCTTTCTTTACTGTCAAGAGGAAACTGCTTATGAAATTCATTATGTATTTGCTGAAAACTTCTTTGTTACACAGCAAACTGCTTTTTTGTTTTACTCTGCCGCGGCAAAATGCACTTGCCCTTCATTGTGAAATTTGCGGCATACCTTCTGCCACATCTTTTTTTTTCTTTACTGTTCCAGTCATAGTTCTGGCTTCTGTGTCCCCACTCAATTCTGCATCAGTACCATGCCTTTGTTTTAAATTTAAAAATTTGTCCATGCTTATTTTTTAACTAGAAAAATAATTATATTTCCCTTTAGTTACCAATTACGATTTCCATAGCTATCACTGTAACTCATGCTCTCTGCATAGTAAACATGTTTCATCATTGCATGGGGGAAAAAGTCACTTGACCTGAATCGATCTATTGTCCCTGAGTAGAACAGTGATGTGTTTGTGTGTATAATACTGGAGACAACACGTGCGCCCGACACGCATGCTGCCATACAGCAAAAACATCTTAGGTCATGCTGTGGTTAAAGTGAAATGTCATCCTACCCAAACAGTAAAGTTGCACTTAATGGAAAAATATTTTATGATGCTTCAGTTTTTAAATTAAAACCAAACAAAATTTAAAATTCCATTCCTGAGTCGCATTGGCTACATTTCAAGTGCTCGGAAGCCACGTGCGGCTAGTGGCCACCACGCTGGATGATGCAGGTAGAGTTGAACATTCAGTGAGTTAGAAATTTGATTATTTTTTATTCCTTTGAGTTCAAGCAACTTTCAAATTCTATTCCCTTTAACTTAAAAATAACTTTAAGTCTTAATTTAAACTTTCTTTTCCTTATTCCTGTCATTTGCCCAGAGACTGGAGTTTGTAGGTGAGTCTTAACACAGGCTTAACGTCAACAGTTCTGTTCCAGATGGAAGAGGGAGCGCAGCTTAGGGTTAGGGCCTGCAAATGTCTTCGGGAAGATCGCTCCCTGCCTCTGATTCCTGGGGAGTAAGGGGGAGTTTAGAGTTAGGACTTGGGGGTTTGGGGCTTGCACTGACTGTCTCTTACTACCCTTGTGTCTTGGGAAACTTACTTCTCTGTGACCCGGTGCCTAATCTAAGAAATGTGATGCTGGTGCTTCCCCTTGGGCATCTGATTGAAGAGTAGATGCAGTGGGAAGCCCTGCTTAAGCTCTTGTGTTTATTAAGGGCCGTGCCCAGGGCCTGACTTTCTCTTCCGTTGTGTTATGTTATTTTGGGGGCAGGAGGTATGTTTAGTTATGACCACTGGAGTCCTGTGTCCCATTAGCAAGATTCCTCCTTTGTTCTGTCATTGAATCCAGGCGGAGCCAAAAGCAAGCAATGAAGAACTAAAATAAATCTTTAGATCATTTGGATTCCTAAGTAGTAGGCTTTTCTCTCCAGAGAGTTGGGCCAAGATAGTATTTTTGCTAGTAAGTCAAATAGTTTCCTCAGCTCTCCACTTTGTTTTTTTAGTGTCAGTCTAGCTCAGCCACATATTTGTTGAAAGGTGTTGGCGGAGGATTCCTTCAAGTTAAGTTTCCTTAGAGGTACATTTTAAAAGGAGCTAAAGCTCTGGACGTTAAGCCCCTTTTGAATTAACTGGAGCGTGCCTTTAAGGTTGCATGGAATAGCTGTGTGCTGCCCAAAGTGCATTAGAGGTCAGCCCAGGGAGGCCAAGAGCAAAGAGCAGGATGAGAAGGAGGCCAGCTCCTGGCCCTGCCCATGCCCTGCCTTCTTGAAGAGCTCTGGGGGAAAGCACTGGGTTTTCCGAACACAGTGACAGAGTGTGCTAAGAAGGAGACTGACCTTCTGTCATCTGCCAGGCTCATCAAGACAAGCCCAGAACTGGCTGAGTCCTGCACGTGGTTCCCCGAGTCCTATGTGATTTATCCAACTAATCTCAAGACCCCAGTTGCTCCAGCACAGAATGGAATCCACCCACCGATCCACAACTCAAGGACAGATGAAAGGGAATTCTTCCTGGCTTCTTATAACAGAAAGAAAGAAGAGGGAGAGGGCAACGTTTGGATTGCGAAGTCATCGGCCGGTGCCAAAGGTGAGCTGACGTTTCTGTCCCTCTCTCTTTCCTGTAGTCCCATGTGCTTTGATCAATCGTACATTAAATTTTAATGATGTCTTTAGATGAGTGACTGTTCTAATCTGAATCCTGAAGGGTAGAGACCACGTCTAGTTACATAGTTTTAAATATCTAAGTACTGATGACTTCTAAATGTATATGTCCCACCGAGGTATTTCCCTGTAAGCTCCAGATCCAGTGGCAGGCATTTTAAACTGAACATGTCTGCTATAGAACTCTTCGTTGCCTTCCCAACTTTACCCACCCTGGCCTGCTCCTCTTTCTGTCTTCCCTCTTAGTATATGGTCCCACTCTTCACCCAGTCTCTGAGCCCAAATCCTAGGATTCATCCTTGACTGCTTTTTTCTTTACAGTCTATACCTAATGCATCAGCTAGTCTTGTTAGCTCCACCTTCAGAGTATATTCTGAATTAGACTTTCCTGCCATTTCCATTGCTCTCACTTGAAGTCAAGGCTAGTATTCTCTCTAGTCTGTGTAGTTGCAGTGCCTGCTCACAGCCAGTTCTCCTCTGAGACAGAGTGATGCTTTGAAAACATAAATCTGATCATGTTACTCCCTGCTCAAGACTTACCAGCTGGCTTCCCAGTGCAATTAGAATAAACTCCGGATTCCTGATGGTAGCCTACACCATTTGACATTTGCTCATGTCTCTGATCTCATCTCCTATTCTTGGCCTTGCTCGCTTTACTGTCGCCACTCCTGCCTGGTGTCCTGCAAATACTCTAAATTCATCTCTGTACCTGGAATGCGCTTACATGGATCATTTCCTATTTCTTTCAGTTCAAATATTGTGTTGTCAGAGAAGCCTTTTCTAATTCAAAATAGTCTTTATGCCTGTTACTTTCTATCCTTCACCCTGCTTTATTTTTCCTCCTTGCACTAACTTCTTCTTAGTACTATATTACATATTTATTTGTCTGTCCGTCTCCCCATCATACTGTAAGCTCCATATAAACACAGACCTTCTGTCTTGTTCATCTCTGTACCCTCCCCATAGGCACTCAATAAATATGTGTTGAATGAATGCATAGAAGGGATGAGATTTATAATGTTTACTCAGACTTAAAATATAGGCAGTTCCCAATGTAATGAACACAAAACAGTCTCTCTCTATAGCTACCATCATAGGCTCTGTTTAAAACCATTCCATTTTGAACTTACTTCTTCTTTTATTGCCTTGGAAGACCATCTGGCCATTGGTACTCATTTCTATCCCCGGTCCAGTGGACCTCACCTTCTTTTACAACAACCATGAGACAAGAGAGCATCACCTGGAATCTCCTGAAAGTTGGAGAGTTGGACTCTCACTACAAGTCGGGTACTTCACCTACCTCTCTCTCCCCCCTCTTGTGACCTCTTCTCAAGTACCGTCCCCTAGCTGGGTTCTCATGGTAAATGGGGAAATTGGAAGAGGAAATAAACATCCATGGTACTTGATTCTTCCTATGGATTTGTGCTTGAGTCAGGATGGTCATTGTAAGGACAGCTTGTGTCATGGAGTCTTGAGTGAGAACCAGGAGTGAGGCAGGGCCCTTGGCAAAAGGACCTGTCAAGTCATGGCAGTGATCCTGCCTAGGTGGTTCCTGGACCGTCACCAAGACAAGACGTAAAGTGATGCTCAGCAGCAGAGAGAGGTGAAGAGAAAATAAAACACCAAACAAAAGAAATTTTGCTTTAGGAGGTGAGGAGATAAGAGGTGTGCATATTTGTTTTGTTTGGGCACTACAAAATGAAACCAATAGGCTGAGAGAATGACTTTTATTCTTATTAGACAAATATTTAATACTTACTATGTGCTGGGTATAGTTGGCTTAACCTTCACACAATATCCAGCATCAAGCCACTGTTGACCACCTCCACTGCCCATCTTGGATCGAGCCACCTCCCCCTCTGGAATTGCTCCCTATCCTCCTGCTCTTGGCCATTCTCCAGAGTCTGCACGCAATATAGCAGACAGAGATCCTGTTAAAGTGCAGTCAGACCATGCCACCTCTGTGTTCATCACTGTCTCCCTGGGGCCACGACAGCACCTGGCACCCAGCAAAGGTTCAATGTGTGTATTGAGTGAGTGAATGAATGAATGAATAAAAGAAGTAGTGAGTGTTTGGAGATACAGGGATAAATGAAACAGACATGATCTCCTGCCCTCATGGATCCAGTCTAGCCAGAAAGAAAGCTAATGATGCATCTGTGTCCAGAAAAGCTAAAAGTTGAGATGAGAACAAAGAATTAAAAAAGACTATGACCTTGAAGCTCCTTGAGGAACCCCAAAGTTCCTTCATGGGATTTCTCCAGGTTTGGTTGGTGAGGATATAAACAAATAATACTAGGAATACCGTTAACAAACACATAGAAACATGCTACACTAGTATTCAAAACGTGTAAAATAAATGTGGATTTTATCTATCATTTTATATACAAAATAAGAAAAAAAACCTTCAGAGATACTGTTGCTGAAAGTTCATTGTGAACTGCTCCCTTTTAGTGGTGATACACACTAAAAAAAGCCATAGGATAACACAGAGAGAGAGCCACTAATCTCATTCCTGAAAACTTACTCCAGGGAAGTATTTTAAAAGAAACAGGAGTGATCTACAGCAAAGACATTTACTACTATGTTACCTGTAATAGCAAAATTTTATTTAGAAACAACCCCATTGCATTGTCCAGCAATCGGTAAACAAATGTGTGGTTTTGTACATCCACACAATGGGATACTTTTTCAACTGCTAACGTAATTCTGAAGTTTATGCAAAAACATTGAAAGTATTGACAATATGAATGAAAAAAGAATATGAAATGAGTTCACTATGATTGAACCAGTCTTTGGCCTTGTATAAAGGAAGGTGGTATGAAAAGATAGAAATAACTATATTAGGAAATAAGACTATGGGTAACTTTTCTGTTTCACTTTAATATCATGTTTTTTCAATGATACTAGTTTTTTAAAGTTATAAAAATGTATCTAGCTTTTCGGTGACTGTGAAGCTGAGGAGATCCCGGCTGGGCTGAGGACATCGGATCTCACTGTCCTTGCAACCCTTTGACCTTCCCCAAAGCCCCTCAATAAAATGGCTTGATCTGGAAAAAAAAAAAAGTATAAAAGTATCTGTCTACTTATCTTCTTCCCATTATTTTTCCCACCTACCAGCATTAGGTATCTTAATTTTCAATAAGGAGTAGTTTACATAAGGAAATAGCATAAGGAAAATAAGGTTGGAACATATTGGAAGGAACATGAACGGATTATGGAGAGTAAGGCATTCTTAGGTGATAGAGATGGTTTCAGGGCATTAGTAGGAAAGTGGTGTTTTGGGATGATTGTGCCAGAAGTCATATGCAAGGTGCTGTAGGGGAGGGGAGACTAAGGTTTGTACCGAAGAATTGACAAGTGGAATAAAGAGGAACCAGGAAATCTGAGTGTGGTTCCTAAGGGACGTGAAACAGAATGAGTCATGTTCATACAAAAGGAGAAGGGAGATTTTCCAAGTTGATTTGCAGTTTCTTGCTTAAGAGACTAGCCAAATGGTGGAGGAGGTGACAGAAACGGGGTAGTGAAAAAGGGGTTGGATTTTAGGAAGGATTAATCAGTAAATTAATGAACTAAATTAGATTAATTTGTACTGAAAGCATGACACCCAAGCAGAGATAAGCTAAATCTAAAACATAGGTGGGAGGTCCTAGAACTAAAAAGTGATTTCAGAAAGGTCACAGGCTATGAGAGCAACCCACAAAAATCAATTGCATTTCTCTATACTAACAATGAACATGTGGAAACCAAAATTAAAACCACAATACCATTTACAATCACTCCCCCCTCCCCAAATGAGATGCTTAGGTATAACTTAAGAAACTATGTACAGGATCTGTATGCTAAAAATTATAAAACGACTGTGAAAGAAATCAAAGAGACTAAATAAATGGATAGACATACCAAGGTCATGGATTCCTAGTCTCAACATGCTGAAGATGTCAGTTCGCCTCAAATTGGTGTGTAAGTTTAATGTGATTGCTATCAAGACCTCAGCCAGGTTTCTGTATAGACAAAGCTTCTTCTAAAATTCATATGGAAAGGCACAGGCCTTTAGAATAACAAACAATCTTGAAAAAGAAGACTCAAGTGGGAGGAATCCCTGTAGCTGATGTTAAAGCATGCTATGTAGCTACGGTAATCAGTACACTATGGTACTGTTGGCAGGTGGAAACATATTAGTGGAACAGAGAACTCAGAAATAGACCCCACGTCTACGGGCGCCTGACTTTTGACCCAGGTGCAAAAGCAGGTCAATCGAGGAAGGATAGCCTTTTCAACAGATGGTGCTGGAGCAGGGAGATATCCATAGACGTAAAAAGTGAACCTCGACTGCAACCTCACACCTTATACAAAATCTAACTCAAAATGGATTCTGGACTTAAATGTAAAATATAAATCTATAAAATTTTTCAGGAAAAATATAGAAGATAGGGTCAGGCAAAGAGTGTTTAAACTTGATGCCAAATGTGTGATCCATAGTAAAAGTTGATAAATTGAACTTCATCAAAATGGAAAACTTTTCCTCTGTGAAAGACCCTATTAAGAGGATGAAAAGACAAGCTACAGATTTGGAGAAGGTATTCCCAAAGGACGTGTCTGGCAAAGGACTTATATCCAGAATATGTAAACAACTTCCAAAACTCAACAGTAAAAGAAAATAGGAGTCCACTTAGAAAATGGACAAAAGACAAGAATGTATCCCACTGAGAGGCCCTACAAATGAAAAATAAGCAGATGACAAGAATTTCAACATCATTAACCATTAGGGAAATGCAAATTAAAACCACACTCTTATTAAAATGGCTAAAACAAGAAATGGTAATGAGAGCAAATGCTGGCAAGGGTGAGGGGAAACTGGATCACTCCCAAAGTGCTGTTAGGATGTAAAATGGTACAGCCACTCTGGAAAATAGTCAGGCAATTTCCTATAAAACTAACCTTGTCACTACGGCACGACCAAGAATTGCACACTCTTGGGCATTTGTTCCAGAGAAATGGAAACTTACATTCACACAAAAACCTGTACATGATTATTCATAGCAGCTTTATCTGTAATAGTCTCAAACTGGAAACACCTCAGATTCCTTCAAAAGCTGAATGACTAAGCAAACTACGGTGAGTTGATACCCTGGACTACTACTCAGCAGTAAAAGGGGACGAACTATTGATAAATGCAGCAACTTGGATGAACCTCCAGGAAATTATGCTGAGTGAAAAAACCAGTCTCCAAATATCACATACTGTGTTCTATTTAATTCTATGTAACATTTCTGAAATGACAAAATTGTAGAAATGGAGAACAGATTAGTGATTGTCAGGAGAGTGGTGTGAGGAGGGAGGTCGTTGTGGCTTTAAAAGAGAACAGATGGTGCTGGCCCCGTGGCCGGATGGTTAAGTTCATGCGCTCTGCTTCGACCACCCAGGGTTTTGCTGGTTCGGATCCTGGGCACGTACATGGCACCGCTCATCAGGCCATGTTGAGGTGGCGTCCTACATAGCACAATCAGAGGCACTCACGACTAGAGTATACAACTACCTACTGGGGGGCTTTGAGGAGAAGAAGGAAAAAAAGAAAAGATTGGCAGTGGATGTTAGCTCAGGTGCCAATCTTAAAAAAGAAAAAAAGGGAAGGCGGGATCCATGCAATAATAGACCTGTTCAGAATGGGAGAAGATATTTGCAAATCATATATCTTATAAGGCACCTCTCTCCAGAATATATAAAGAACTCTTATAACTCAATAGTAAAAAGACAAATAACCCAATTAAGAAATGAGCAGGGGCTGGCCCCGTGGCCAAGTGGTTAAGTTCATGCGCTCTGTTTCCATGGCCCAGGGTTTCACCGGTTTGAATCCTGGGTGTGGACATGGCACCACTCATCAGGCCACGCTGAGGGGGTGTCCCACATGCCACAAGTAGAAGGACCCACGACTAAAATATACAACTGTACTGGGGGGATTTGGGGAGAAAAAGCAGGGGAAAAAAAGGATTGGCAACAGGTGTTAGCTCAGGTGCCAATCTTTAAAAAAAAAAGTGAGCAAACAATCTGAATGGACATTTCTCCAAAGAAGATATACAGATAGCCTATAAGCACAGGAAACCGTGCTCAACATTATTAGTCACTAGAGAAATGGAAATCAAAACTACAAGGACATACCACTTCATGCCCACTAGGATGGCTGTAACCAAGAAGATAGAAAATAACAAATGTTGGCAAGGATATCAAAAAATTGGAACTATCAGGGGCCGGCCCGGTGGTGCAGAGGTTAAGTTCGCACGTTCCGCTTCTCGGCAGCCAGGGGTTCGCTGGTTCGGATCCCGGGTGCGGACATGGTACTGCTTGGCAGCCATGCTGTGGTAGGCATCCCACGTATAAACTAGAGGAAGATGGGCACGGATGTTAGCTCATAGCCCGTCTTCCTCGGCAAAAAGAGGAGGACTGGCAGTAGTTAGCTGAGGGCTAATCTTCCTAAAAAAAAAAAAAAAAAATTGGAACTATCATATATTGCTGGTAGGAATGTAAAATGGCACAGCCACTTTGAAAAACAGTTTGGTAGTTCCTTAAAAGGTTAAACAGAGAGTTTACCATATGACCGAACTATGCCACTCCTAGGTATATTCCTGAAAGAATTGAAAACATGTCCACACAAAAACTTCTATGCAGGGGCTGGCCTGGTGCAGCAGTGGTTAAGTTTGCACGTTTTGCTTCAGCGGCCTGGGGTTCGCCGGTTTTCATCCCGGGTGCAGACCTACACGTTGCTTATCAAGCCATGCTGTAGCAGGCGTCCCACATATAAAGTAGAGGAAGATGGGCTCAGATATTAGCTCAGGGCCAGTCTTCCTCGGCAAAAAGGAGGATTGGCGGCAGATGTTAGCTCAGGGCTAATAATCTTCCTCAAAAAAAAAAAAAAGAAAAACCTATGCAAATCTTGAAAGCAACATTATTCATAAGAGTCAAACAACTGTGGAAACAACCCAAAATGTCCATCAGGTGATGAATGGAAGAACAAAAATGTGGCATATCCATTTCATGGAATATTATTCAGTCATAGAAAGGAGGAATGAAGTCCTGACACTTGCTACAACGTGGATGAACCTTGAGAGCCTTATGGTAACTGAAAGCAGCCAGACACAAAAAGGCTACATACTGTTTCATTCCATTTATATGAAACATCTAGAACAGACAAATCCATAGAGACAGAAAGTAGGCTAGTGGTTGTTAGGGACTAGGGGGAGGAAGGAAAGAGGAGTGACTGCTGATGGGTATGAGTTTTTTGGGGGAGGTGATGAAAATATTCTAAAATTAGATTGTAGCAATGGTTGCAAAACTCTTGGATATACAAAAGGACATTGAATTATACACTTTAAGGGTGAATTTTATGCTGTGTAAAATATTTCTCAATAAAGCTGTCAAAAAGGATATTGAATCGTTTATTTAATGTTGATGGACACTTTGAATATTTTTTTCTGTTACAATGCTGCAGGGGATCCGCTTGTACTTTTGTGTTTATGCCCTAACCTTCCTGATATTTCTGTAAGATAATAGTGTTAGAAGTGGGTTTGTTGGTCATAGGCAGCGTATGGTCTTTATTGTGGTAGCCAGTGACCAATAGAGTGTTATTTATTTAGGGTGCTTAGATATTTTAATTATCTGTAAAAATGAAATTTCATGGTTGGAGCCTGCCAAGATAGTGTTTACAGTCCTATATGGAGAAAGAGTTAACCACCCTGGTGCTCTTGTGGGTAGAGGGGCGAGTGTGAGAGAGTGGAGGAGTGAAGAGATGGAGAAAGAAAAGAGTGAGCAGGCCAATAAAAGCTTCCTGTCAGTTTTTTCCTTCTGTCAGTATTTCCTTTCCAGCTTTGTAGAGAGCTCTTCCTCTTGGGATGAGCTGGACTAATTTCTGTTTTGATTTTGCCCTGTTAGGTGAAGGCATCCTCATCTCTTCAGAGGCTACAGAGCTTCTGGATTTCATAGACAACCAGGGCCAGGTGCATGTGATCCAGAAATACCTTGAACACCCTCTGCTTCTGGAGCCAGGTCACCGCAAGTTTGACATTCGGTAATGCGTCGGTGTCTGGAGTTTTTGTCTTACTAATCTGAAGAAAATGCAGTGGTGTGCAACGAGGAGGGTAATGTGGAATGTGAAGAAGTATTTGACCGTCTTTAATATGTTACCCGAATTGAGCACAGCCGAATGGAACTGTGCTTCTGTATCTAATTTTCTGTTTTCCTTTCAATATATTTCTCTTATCTTTTTAGAAAATGTTACAAAGCTTATGGATTTTCTTTTTTTATGTTCTCTTTAATGAAAATATCTAGTGGATCCAAAGGAAGGAATATAAATATATGGGGCTTGCTTAAGGAAGAAGCTGAGAGATGTACATAAAGCACATAATGCAGACACAACAGAGCATGTGACCCTGCCAAATAATATGTCCTCACTTCATTGTTTGTGTTCCACTTTTTACGGATTTCATGAGCACACCTCACGTTTTGGGTTTTAACTTTCTGAGCAAAGGGCCTGACATGGAGAAAGAGGCTGTATGGTGCTTTCTAAAGCTGAACAGCCCTTGGCCCAGGTTACCCTTAGCCTTGTTCTCATCTCCTCATCGAGGACTCTTTGTCTCCTGGATGCCTTCATATTGACTTGCTGCTTCTTGAACACCAGTCCTATGTCAGATCAGCTTCAGGAGGAACGGTCTTCTTAAGATTACTGAAAGAGCAAACATGGCAGATGGAAGTTTCATAGATTAATCTTAAAAACCAACCCATTCAGATCTCTTCAAAATGCTTTCTCTTTTGAAGAGATCAAAGTCTCCTGGTCATTTTTGGTGAAATGTTTTGTTTGCCTCATTACAGTAATAACCCACTATCTTGGCTAACTGTCATGATTTGCCCCATATGATTTAGAACCTACCTCCTTCCTCTACTAACCCCCCAAAAAGTCAAGGTGTAGGGATGATAGATATAATGTGGAGAAAATTTGGATGACTGGAGTAAAACAGTGTTTTTATTGACTTGCAGAAGCTGGGTTTTGGTGGATCATCTGTATAATATCTACCTCTATAGAGAGGGCGTGCTTCGGACTGCTTCAGAACCATATCATGCTGATAATTTCCAGGACAAGACCTCCCATTTGACCAATCACTGCATTCAAAAGGAGTACTCCAAGAACTATGGGAAGTATGAAGAAGGGAACGAAATGTTCTTCGAGGAGTTCAATCAGTACCTAACAAGTGCTTTGAACATTACCCTGGAGAATAGTATCTTACTACAAATCAAACATATAATAAGGTAACCTAATTGTATCTTTTTTGGTTGTGTGTCTTGAAGGAACTTTGGGAGTTTATGCCTTTCAAGGAATTGTTCCATTTAAGTTGTGTAATTTAAGGACAAACACTATTTGTAATGTTCCTTTATTAACCCTATAATAGGTATAGGATCTGTAATGATGTCACTTTTTTTCACTCCTTATATTGGTAATTTATATCTTCTCTCTATTTTACTTGGACAGATTGGCTAGAGGTTTATCAATTTTATTAATCTCTTTTTAAAAATCTACTTTTGGCTTTATTGATTTTCTGTTTTGTTTTCAATGTCTTTGATTTATGCTCTTTATTATTTCCTTCCTTCTGGGTTGTTTTTTTTTTTTTTTTTTTTGAGGGAGGGGGTTAATTTGCTCTTCTTTTTCCAGTTTCCTTAAGGCGAAATGTTAGATCATTGATTTGAGAGAGTTCCTTTTTTAAAAATATAACCACTTTAATGCTATCGATTTCCTCTTAAGTACTCATTAACTGCATCACACAGATTTTGCTATGTGGTGTTTTCATTTTTGTTTTATTAAAATGTTTTCTAGTTTCTCTTGTGACTTTATCTTTGACTTGTGTTATTTAGAAACTTTTACTCATTTCTCAAATTTTTTGGGTTTTCCAGATATCTTTACTGATTTCTACTTTAATTCCGTTATTGTCAGAAAACATACTTTGTATGGTTTCATGTCTTTAAAATTTGTTAAAGTTTGTTTCATAGCCCAGAATATGGCCTGTCTTAGTGAATGTTCCATTTGCACTAAAAATAGTGTTTATTCCACTACAGTTGGGGAGAGTGTTCTGTAAATGTCAATTAAGTGAAGGTGGTTAGTAGTGTTTTTCAAGACTTTTATGTCCTTGCTGATTTTCTGTTCTATTTATTCTGTCCAGTATTGAAAGGAAAACCTTTGAAGAGTCTCCAGGTATAATTATGGATTTGTCTGTGTCTCCTTTTGTTTTTGCTTCCTATATTTTGAAGATCTGTTGTTAGGTGCATATACATTTAGAATTGTTACCTCTTCTTGGGGGAACTGATCACTTTATCATTATGTAATTTCCATCTTTATCTCTGGTAATATTTCTTATACTGAAGTCTATTTTGTCTGATATGAATAGAACAGCTTTCTTTTGATTAGTGTTTCCATGGTATGTCTCTTCCATCTCTTTGATTCTGTTCTATTCTATATTCTATTCCATATTTAAAGTGGACTTCTGGTAGACAGCATATAGTTGGGTTTTGTTTTTAATTTAATGTGATAATCTCTGTCTTTTAATTGGTATGTTTATACCATTTAAATTTAATGTAATTGTTGATTTGGTTGGATTTACATCTACTATTTTATTATTTGTTGTCTGTTTGTCCTTTTTTTTTATCTTAAGATTTTACTTTTTTCCTTTTTCTCCCCAAAGCCCCCCAGTACATAGTTGTATATTCTTCGTTGTGGGTCCTTCTAGTTGTAGCATGTGGGATGCTGCCTCAGCGTGGTTTGATGAGCAGTGCCATGTCCGCGCCCAGGATTCGAACCAACGAAACACTGGGCCACCTGCAGCGGAGCACGCCAACTTAACCATTCAGCCACGGGGTCAGCCCCTGTGTGTCCTATTTTTTGACTTCCCCCTTCCCTGCCACCTTTTGACTTATTTGAATTTTTTTTAGAGTTCCATTTTAATTTTTATGTTGAGTGTTTATATCTCTTTTTTTCTTTTTAGTGGTTAATCTAGGGATTATAATATACATACCTCATATTTCACAGCCTTGTTAGAGTTAATAATTTACCACTTCAAATAAAATGCAGAAACTTTATAATTTTATAGTTCACTTAACTCTCCCTCTCTATTATCATTGTTGTATGTATTACCTCTGCATACACTGAAATCTCCACCACATAATGCTATAATTTTTGCTATCAACAGTCATATGTATATATTTTTATATATAGGGTACATTATCAGGTAGGATTTATACAAGACCAAACTATATGCTGTCTATAAGAAACCTACTTTAAATCTAAAAGGAGAAAAATATTTTTTCTGTTTCCCCAGATATTTATCATTTCTTTTGCTCTTCCTTCAGTCCTGAAGTTCCAGGTTTCTCTCTGGTGTCATTTCCCCCACTGCATTTTTCTGTGCCTTTGGTATAAATCAGGTGGCCGTTCATGTGAGGGTCTGTTCCTGGGCTCTCCATTCTGTTCTGTTGGTCTGTTTATCTGCCCTGTCATTACCACCCTGTCATGATGACTGAGACTTTTTCCCGAAGGTATTCTTACATAGAGTCTAGCAGAATAACTACAAGGGCTTGGAGTCCCGTTTCTTCAGGGATTATAGGTGGTTAGAATTCTGACACTAGATACGTCAAGTATGCTGAAGAAAGAATTCCTATTTTAGGCAACAGATTTACTGGATATTTGCTGTGCACACCCCCTCCCCCCACCGTTGTTCTATGCTATTCAGAGTATTGCTACTTTGGTGCTGTAAATACTCGCAGCCCTCATGGTTTATTTTCCCCAGCTAGCCTCCCCCTAACTTCCCACTCCAGTTGAAAAAGATGTACTGTATGAAGTCTCTGATGATGAAAAAAATTCTTTCAAGTGAATTATTAATCTTGAGCTTCCAGCAGATAAAAAGTAGTATTTAGTTTTGATTGGTTCTGGCTCATGGTTTTCACTTTATGTGTCGGAGCATAAAGTTTCTTTCACTTGTTGGTTTTTCTCCTCTTTTTTTCCTGTTTCTTTCTTACCGTGAGCATCTATTAAATTTTAAAACTTTCTTAATTATAATATTTTAAAGGGTATTTTAATTTAAAAAATTAAGGGTATAGAGACAAGAAATTGAAAAAAATGTGATACATGGCTTGCCAGTACAGGTTAAAGATGAATGGGAGAAGAAATGCTGATTCCAGTTGGTTCCTAACTGGCTAACTATCCAAAATTATTTGTAAAAGTTTGAACATATTTGTAGAAATATTTTCCCTTTTGGGATAAAAGAAAAGAAAATTGATGATTGGGGTGGGGGAATGGTGGAGGGAGGTTGGGGAGAGCAAGACCCTGGCTCCAAGTTCACAGAGGCCTCAGTTTTGAGTATTGACTCAAAACCTACCTCTAAACATACATCTTGTAGTTAGTCACATGGAAACCAGCTCCCCACATCTTTTTCCTTCTAAATATACAGCTTTGTACAAGGACAGCTATCTCTAGTAATCTTAGAGTCGTCATAATGTATTTTATTTACTAAGGTAAATATTTTGCCCCAACATTCAGTTGAGGGAAAAGTCGGAGAAGATCCTCATAAAGCAGAAATGCATAGGTTTTCTGGGATGGTTGATTTATTATTCATAAATAATAGACTTGTGATTATCATAATTAATGATAAGTTAATAAAATATGCTTGCTTGTAATATTAACATTTCTAAGATGTTTCCTAGCTACAAGGAGTTATGCCAGGTTCCTTATGAACCGTCTCCCCACTAAGAGAAGGTATTTTTTTTACCCTAGCTTTATAGTTAAGGAAATCAACACTTGGCTCAGAGAGGTTAAACACCTTGTCTGAGATCCTGACCTTGGCAGCCTGACCTCAGACCTCACGTACTTATTCGTTAATGTTCCTGAGACTCATTTTCAACTTCTTTTCTGTGTCACTGAAATCTAATTTTTCAAACAGTAGTTGATGTTAATAATTCTATTCTCTACTTCAATATTTAGATTCTATATGTATATAGCTCTAATTCTTTTCTTTTTAAATAATCTTTTATTGTATCCCCTGAATCTTGTTTGGTCAAAGCATTCCTCACAGTAGAGGATTTTGAGAGGGGGAGTGATGTGAGCTGATTTACAGAGTTTTTTTGTTTGTTTGTTTGGCGAGGAAGATTGGCCCTGAGCTAACATCTATTGCCAATCTTCCTCTTTTTGCTTGAGGAAGATTGTCACTGTGCTAACATCTGTGCCAATCTTCCTCCATTTTGTACGTGGGACGCCTCCACAGCATGGCTTGATAAGCAGTGTGTAGTTCCGCACCTGGGATCCAAACTTGTGAACCCTGGGCTGCCCAAGTGGAGCGTGCAAACTTAACCACTATGCCCCCGGGCCAGCCCAGCTCTAAATCTTTTAATTAGTAACAATTTGGCATTAGAACTGGAACTACTAAAAGAAATGAATGAGGCCACCATTCTTTTTGCAAATTCTGCTCTTAACCAAGTGGTAGTCTATTTCTTTTATATGGCAAAAATCCCTAGAAGTGTTTTATTTATTACAAACAAATGTGGCAGCAGCCCTCCTGTTGGAGGAATCCACACTCATCTCTGTAACCACAGTGACTTAGCCCTGTGCTGGGAAAGCAGCCTCTACCTGGAAGAGTATGAGTGGTTGCAGAGTTTTCTAACAAACCGCTTGATAAGTAGCATCATCTTGAATAGTCAATTAGTAATAAATTTAAAAAAGAGAATTAAGTCAAAGCCAATTTTTATCAGTACATTTGATATAAAATCGTCCAAGCGCATCTCCCATGTTCCTTCTCCTTTGACCACCCATTCTCAGTGAGCTCTCCTTCTCTACCCCACAGAAGCTGCCTCATGAGTGTGGAGCCTGCCATCAGCACCAAGCACCTCCCTTACCAGAGCTTCCAGCTCTTTGGCTTTGACTTCATGGTGGATGAGGAGCTGAAGGTCTGGCTCATTGAGGTCAACGGCGCCCCTGCTTGTGCTCAGTAAGCCTGAACACCATTGTGTTTAACAAGTGGGAAGTTGGTTCCGCAGTTGGAATAGCCTGTCTTGGCAAGGTGGTGAGCTCCTGTGACCGCAGTGTTCAAGCGTAGACCCTTAGACTGCTGTCAGGGAGGATGTAACAGTGGTGGGAGTCTTTTGGGAGGACCCCGGCTGGCAGGGGCTCTGCTGAATCATTTCCTTTCCCATTTCCCCACGTGTTGAGCACTTAGTCTGTGCTCAGGTGTCTGGTAGTTGCCATGAGAATTTCAAAGTTAATAACTGCCAAAGGAGACCCTCTTGTGTGACAAGTTGAGTGGGCGGGGTCCTGTGAGTGGGGAAGACAGTGATGACCAAGGAGTTTGGGGCTCCCCGGGCAGAAAGTGGGCTGAGGAGCCCTTGCAAACAGTGGATCTGGAACTGGGATGTAACAGAAGAGTGTCACATGTGCCAAGGGGAGGAGGGAGAGTCTTCAGAAAGGGGACACAGCATCCAGCAGGACCTTGCTCTATGCCAGGCTCTATGGGGGATGCACAGAACCTGCCCTCAGGGTGCTTCTGTTCCTCCTGGGGAGAAGCCTGGCTGCAGCGTGGGGTTAGTGTCGTGGAGTAAGGAAAGATGAAGGTGAAGAAGTAAGTTGGGGCTGCGCTATGGAAGGCCTTAAGTGTAAGGGAAAGGCATCCGGACTTAATCCTCAAAGGCCGTTGGTTCTTCTGAAGATCCACTTTCGTCATGTCAAGACTCTTTCATGGTTCTCCATGTCCATGTCTTGGGGGAATTGAAGTGATTTTTCAAGGGTTTAGGAGAAAGTCCTGTACCTACAAGAGGCAGTGTTAACACACAAGTTGTTCTTTCATTAGGAGCCAGGTGTTTGCCCCTTGCTTGATGGCTGTGACACGGCAGGTGTGATTCCATCTCATTTGTCAGACCCTGGAGCTAACCAGTACTTGTTAGCTGTCCCCCCAACCCTCCAGGCCCTGGGCTGGGCCCTGGGTCACAGTCGTGAGCAAAGAGACACAGGCCCTGCCCTTACTAGAGAGAGACTCTGGGCAAGCAGAGGACTAGACAAATATAGATTAAAATCTAGGACAAGCGCTTTAATAAAGCATGTTAAAAAGTAATATAATTGAGCAAAAGGTCCCCATTGGGAGGTGATATTTGGCACTGAGATCTGAAGGAGGAAAGAGAGGTAAGTAGGCTAAGGGTGGAGGAGAGCAGAATGTTCGAGTCTTCCCTTTGGCACATCCACAGTGGGACGCCCATTTTCTCCTGTCCTTCCTAGCAAAGGGTCATCCTCCATTGTGCTCCAGACCCTGTCCCCTCTCTTCGCTCCCCTCCCTGTCCTCCCACATTCCTTGTTTACAGTGTGACCCTTTTCCTCTCACTGCAGCACAGTTCCCCGATATGAACATGTGTGTACACAGCGGATGTTCCCAGCTATTAAAAAAAGCTCTCCCTGACGCCACATCCTGCTCCAGTGACCGCTCCCTCTCACTGCTCCCTTCGCAGCCAAACTTCTGGAAAGCAGCATCTGCACCGCCGTCTCCTCTTCTTCAATTCCCATCTGTGCGCTGGTCCATTCCAGCCTGACTTCCATCCTGACCGCCCCACAGAAATGAAGGTCCCCAGCCAAGTCCACATTGCCAGGTCCAGTGGCCCCTGCCAGTCCTTACTTCCTGGACCTCTCAGCAGCATGTGAGGCAGCTGACCTCCACACCTTGTTGGAGCTCTTCTGCTGTGGCTTTGGCTACACTCTGTACGGGAAGGTTTAATGGGGGAGGTATGGGCAAGACTGGCTTCTTGTTCCCCATCTGCCGACCAGAGTCAGTGCCTTAGCCCCGGGTGTGTCTTTTCTCTCCTCTACACTTTCTCTGTATGTGATCTTATTCAACTTTGTGCCTTTAGAACCACCAAATTACATCATAGCCCAGAGTTCCAGACTGGTGTCTCATTTGCCTTCCTGGTGTCGTGCAAGGATGTCTGATAGGCCCACCCCCCAGAGTTGCCCATCTCGGTGACCGTCCACCTCCCCTCAGCCCAGAGCCTAAGCCGGAAACCTGCCTACTCCTTTCCATTACCCTCACGTTCTGTCCATTGAGGCCTTGTCGGTTCTGTCTCCAGCCTCATCAGTCCTCTGCCCTCCTCTGCCCCTGCCCTCGCTCTCCCGCAGTCCTACATTGTTGAGGAGGGTTTTGCAAAGAGCCTTCTAACTGGGCTCTTCTTCTGCTTTTGTCCCCAAAAAATCTACTCTCCCTGGAGCAGCCAGAGTGATAAAATGGAAACCAGGCCATGCTGTTCTCTAGACTTTCCATCACTCCTGGGATAAAAGCCAGACCCCTCCCTCTACCTGCAAGGCCACTGCCTCTCCAGCCTCACCCCAAGCCACCATTTCCCTTCCAGCTCTTAGCTGCTGTGGGGCCTTTGTGCTTCCTCCTTCCTCTGCATGGAGCCCCTGCAACACACACACCAGTCTTATCAAGGCTGGTTCCTTCTCTACGAAAATGGCATCTCAGGGAAGCCTTCCCTGAACAATCCCATTTCTGATTTCTCCAGCCAGAACCTCAGTGGTTTCCTTCATTACACTAATTGCCATCAAATTAACCAGTCTTTGTTTTCTTTTCAGAATGTATGCACCGTGGGGGCAGTAGCCTTGTTTCTCTTGTTCTCTGAGTCCCAGTGCCTGGCACTCTGCCTGGTGCATCATACACTGTAAACATTAGTTGAATGAACAAAGAGTGTGTTCCCGGTCAACACTTTTATTCACCTGATTCAGTAATTCCTTGGGTTTTCTCTAAGTAGAGACATCTTTCTAGCTTCCTTCTATTCCCTGGTGACTTTGGCGCTTAGATGTATAAGATGTATTTATCCTTAAGACCCGTCCTTATATCAGCTGGGAGGGGGTTTCAGGGAGCAGGCGGGTTCTGTCTGGTTACTATAAAGAGCTTTGAGAATGTTGAAAAGTGGCTTAAATGTCATAGTGTGCATATTCAAGACAGGGATGCCATCATGTCTCAACGGTGGATCAAGGACTGGAATATAAAATGCAGTCAGCATGCAGGTCTCCAGTGTAAGAAAGGAATAAAAGAATCCCACTGTCCTGTGGGGGGAAGGTGACTCTGTTTCTGTTTCTTCCTGAAGCTTGTTCGGATGTTCAGTAGGCATTTTGCTCCAGGGTGGCTCTTTGATTCTAAGCATAAATCCTAAGTCAAGATACAGGTAATCTGGTGTAGTTCCTTATAAGACTAAACATTTTCAGTAGACATTGGACCCCAAGGGTGCACCCCCAGTCTCTGTCCTGGAAAAGGTGGATCTGCCTCTTTTTGCTATAGAAGGATTGCAGGATACCCAGTCAAGGGGAGAGTGAAGAAACAGCAACTTCTCCTTGGCTCAGTCGGAGTGTTCAGTAATGGCTTTGACTTCCTTCTCACCAGCAGCACCCAGGCGCCTGGCGGATACTCACCTGTTTCGCTAACGTGCTTTGTAAGATCAGGTGATGCTGGAGCCCGACGGAGGCTTCTGATGATAGAGCCCTACGATTGTGTACCAGTGTTCACAGTCTTCTTTGGGCTCCATCTCGCTGGCTGCCACACAGCCACTTGACGTCTGTTGGAGTCCCTCTGTGCTCAGAGTCCTCACGAGAGCAGTGAGGTGTAGGAGAATAGCGGGGTTTAGGGACACGTAAAGATGAGTGTCCTCGAACAAGTCCACTGGAGCGGGGAGACAGACACTCCCCAATTAATTATTGTATGAATCATATTGTGTTATAAGTGCTGTAACAGGAAATAAACAGATTCTATCTTTTAGGTGCATGATTTTGAGTGGAGAGAGCTCTTGGGGTGGGGGGCTTACTGTGAGGTAGCCTGGAAAGCCACGAGGGCCCCAGGCCACACTGAGAGGCGTAGGCAGATAGGTCTCATGATTTACTCTTTTTGCTACATGAAAATGAGCAGGTTGTCACAGGGCGTACTATTGCCTGCATATAGTACCTCCTACACCAGAAATACCTGAGATGTGAGTTGACTTGACCATGTTCAAGCTGCTCTGCGCCCTCTCCTCTTACCCAGCATTCCATTTGGAAAGTGCCTTCCCAAGGTGGTTAGTGACAAGCATCGTGAAACACTGAACCTGGCGTGTTTTGACAGCTTGTGGCTCTTGGTGACTTGCCGAGTCCCAGGTTTAGTACCCACCATCACTCCCCTGCAGACCTTCTTGTCCCTGTCCCTTCAGAAGTGGGAGGTCCAGTGGTTTGGCCAGTTTGTTGAAAACAGGACTTGATTTGTGTACACAGAAAGGACAGGGGCTGGGGAACTGGGGAGAGGGGAGAAGGAAAGAGCAGAGGTCTAGCTGGCAGGTGAATGTCAGCCGGCAGTTAGACTTCCCGAGACACATAATGGAAGAGTGGCTTTTCATGAGCTTTCTTCCCAGAGGGCCTTACAAGAGGTTGGAACATAGAAGGACCAGCCTCAAGGGCAGTAAAAAGGGACAGAGGTGGGAGGAAAGGTTCTGGGAGGATGATAGTAGGGATTTTCCATTGCATCAGGAGGATGGGAATTAGATTGTGAGGACTTTCTCCCTGGTGGAGATTGGAATATAGCATCTTCCAGAAATCGGTCAGGACAGTAAAGATCTCTGTCCCTCTAGGTCAGGCTGGCCTGGGCTCCTGTCCTTGGTTCCAGCCCCCTGGATTCCAAATGTGTCTTGAGCGAGTTGGGTGGGTGGGCACATCTGGCCAAGAGCATCGTCTCAGATGTGGGTTTTCTCTTTGGACCACACATCTCTGGTTTTTCCGTGCATTAGGGTCAGTCCTGAGAGAGCTGGCTCTGGGGCCTCGTGGGCTGCCACATGTGATGGGCAGAAATCCTATAGGGGCTTAGTGGTCATGGGAGATAGAGGGCCCCATTGCTACTCTGAAGAGACTAGATGGGAGGTTTTCCTCCTTAGCTTTTCTGCTTTGGTGGTTCCATTGCCTCTGGATGAAGTCTAGGCCCCTGAATGTGGCATCAGGCCCTACATGGTCTGGCCCCTGGCTTGTCCCAGCCTCACCCTGCACTGATCCACTTCCCCAAACACCCTGAGTTTGTGCTCCTTGGTGGTGCTACTCCTTCTACATGTGCTGCCCTCTTCTCCCCCACCCCTAACTCACCCTCTCCCGCTCTGTCTCTCCTCCTCTCCCCCTTCCCCTCCCTTGTTCTGTCCTTCTATGTCTGTCTCCCCTCCCTTGGTCCTCATTTCTACCCCGTCATCTATTCTTTATCTACCTATCTATCTATCTCTATCTCATTCTCCAGGCCCCAGTTTAGCTGTCCCTCCTGGTGAGTCTTTCCTAAGGTCCCCTCAACCACGCTGATTGAGTGCTTTCCCAGGGGAGTACCTGCCCCTCTGTGTACGCCCACCACAGACAGCCAGGATGGCTCTTCTCCTCTGCTGGAGTTGTCTGTCTTCCCCGCAGTTCAAGTCAGAGCAGGAGTTGTCTGTCAGTTCACCTGCGAGACCTTCCAGGCATTCTTGTTAAAGGGATGCTTTATCCTCACGCAGTGCCTCCTGCACCATTTGTATGTACAGTGGAAACCAGTTTTATAGGTGTGGTTGTGAGATGGAATTTCTAGGGCAGATTCTGGTGAAAAAAGCTTTGATTTTTTGCTTGCACTTTGATGAATGTCCTCAACAATATTTTTTAAAACCCATTTCAGGAAGCTTTATGCAGAGCTGTGCCAGGGCATCGTGGACATAGCCATAGCCAGTGTCTTTCCGCCCCCAGACGTGGAGCAGCAGCCGACCCAGCCGGCTGCCTTCATCAAGCTGTGACCTAGGGAGGTTCTCAGAGCTGCTTCGGAAGAAGCATGGAGTCCTGCTCCAGGGGAAGGTGAAATCTCCTGATAGTTCGTCGTCAAGCCAAAACAGGAGAGGGAGGCAACTCGCAAGGACATGATGGAAGAGAGAGCATGAGAAGAAAAGGCGACTTCTCCAAAGGGTGGTTGCTCTGGGTTCCCAGGTGGAGCTCTCAGCACTGCTCTTGAGATTTGAAAACTGCAGTGATGTGGCCTCCTGAAAAGGACGGGAGAGCAAGTATTCTGCTACGGGGAAAGAACAGAGATTTGATTACTTATATTCTCATCCTTTAAAGAGTCTGCTTTTTATCCTAAGGCAGCACTGCGAGCAGCGCCTCTCCTCCAAGGACTGCAGACCGTCGGACCTTTGGTTGGTGTCTTTCCACCTGCTGCAGCTTTAGTGCCTTAGCTCTATGCCCAGCTGCAACCCTCCTGTCTGGGACAGGGATTGGATGTGAGAGCATTGGGGAGGTTGCTGATGTGTTCCCTGCTCGTCCCCCTCCATGACACTCTGCCCCACGAACATCTGGACAAGCATGCACCAACATCCTTGGTTTTGTGCCGTGCGCTGCGTCGCAGCAAAGGAGATTTTCCTCATCACGTTCCTGATGGCGTTGGGTCAATCACCTGTCAGGGTTGGTGTGGGATGGACACCAAACAGCAAACGCTGCTCTCAGTCTGCTCTCTGCATGTTTCAGAAACCAAGCGGCAGGTCTGCTGCAAACCCGTAAGCATCATATAAGCATGAGAGAGAAAAACACGACGTCTTGCTCTACTTACTAGTTGGCTGTGGTAGGTCTTTGAAATATGATTGTCACTTATCTTTGTTTTAACCAGAATTCTACATGCACTTTTGCAAAGTTCCCTTTTCTTTACTTTTTGTTTTTATTTCTGTTTTAACTTTTGTAAAAACCCCTCTAGGGGTCAGGAGAAGGCAGAATTGTGCTCCCCCCACCGAGGTGGCACTGCCCCAGACACAGGGAGCTCCCCCCAGTGCATCCTCCTTGCTCCGCAGGCACTTTGTGCAGGAGCTGGAGGGGCAGGTTTCGTTCCAGGGAGGATTCTCTGTCTGCTTGTGCCTCTCAGCATCAGGGAGAGGCTCTGAATAAGTCTGAGTAAGCGTATGTCTTGCCTGAGTGGGAGTCTCCTAAAATGGGACAGAAGTGGTTTCAGAGCACCACACGGCATCTTGTAAGTCAACAGATGTGTCCCGTTAGGTGTAGTTTCCACTTACTGGATCGACGAATGTTCTGTAGGCTTTTCAGGAGGCCACCTCACAAGCAGTGGGAAGAAGAAGATGCCGTTTGTGTCGAGTGTGAGCTGAGTGAACAGGCCCTCCGTTGCGTATCCTAGGACTCACAGCAGACCCATTGCAAAGGCACCCTCCGCCCCAGAACGGGGTGCGGTCTTCCCTCGTGCACATCTGTGCTCCGTTATTCGTTTCTACTTGGCACAAGAAAACAGTTCTGCGGTCAGGGGAGACTTTTAAAAAGAGAAGAAAAAGCAACACCTCCTCAAACATGATGAGATGTAGCAGCTTACAGTGAAAAAAGGAATAATGATAAAAATTACTTAGTAGATGTAGCAGTGGGTGTGTAGCATGTGAAAGCGTTACGTTGAGGTGAAGTGGAGAAAGGCCCCACTGGAGTGGGAATTTGGAATCAAAAATAAAAGTTTTGGTGGTTACCCAGAATACAGAAAATTAAGTTTGCATCAGAGCGAAATAAAACAGTCAGTGGTAAAAGTCAATCCTGGAGGCCCAGCACAGCGGATGGGTTGGTGTTTGCGGACTTCTGAGCAGGTCAGGGGGAGATGCTCACCCACTTAGTGTAGGGCACTGGGTCCTTGGGAGGTCTGTGATGGGGAAAGCATGGAGGTTTTGTGATGCTGTCACATGCTCACGCAGACTCGTAATGATCTTTTGGACCTAAATTACAGCGACATTGGAGAGTTTTCCAGCTCTTAGTGACAGAGCTAAGAGTTCAGGTGTTAGGAAGTCTGTGGATGTTGATGGATTTCCTAAGAAAACTGAATCAATAGTATATATGTGAGGGAAGTAAGGCTTTAAAGAAAAAAAGTTATGCTTTTTTCCTCACTTGGTTTAAATAAGTATTTTTATGCATTTATTTCTGATCAGGTGGGATGGTCGGCTCAGAACTGTTCCATACCCTTCCATGAAACCCTTTGCACAGAAGGTCGTGCCTCGCTCTGCAGTCAGTCTCCATATGTGTAGTCTGTGTCCATGTCTCTGTTGTTGGGGAGGAGGTGTGACTCATTCGGAGATGCTGATTCCAACCTTGGCTCTGTCGTTTGGCTGCTGGTGTCAGATGGGCCCAGTCACCTGTCTGTGCCTTAGTTCTTACCTCATGGAAGAGTTTGTTGCCTGACCCAGGGACTACCTCAAGGGCTTTTCGTGAGGACAGATGAGATTAGGAAGACTCAAGAACCTTTCGTACCAAGGTTCTCAAAGCTGACTTCATGCTGGAATCACTTGGGAAGCTTTTTGTAAATGCTGGTGTGCATACCTTCCCTCTCCCCCAACCCCTGACAATTAAATGAGAACCTCAGGTATCTCTGAGATGCCTTGAAGCACTGCTTGAGAAGGAAGGACAAACACATTATTACTTTGGAAGAAGCAGATAAGGCCTAGGGCTTTTTAAAAAATTGCTTTTGGAAGAACAGGCATTGCTTTAAGAATGGACCAGACGTTGACACATGTGTTCATGATACAAGCAAGTGCTGCTTAAGCTGGTTCTCTCTTTGCTCCTCATCACAGCATTCGGAACCTCAGACATGCCCTCATCTATCCAAACAGTTCATGAAGCCTTGACAACAAATGTAAACACATGAATTTATAAATCTGTTAAATATGCATTAAGGTTATTAATTATTATTACTATTTTTTCTTCTTCTCCCCAAAGCCCCCAGTACATAGTTGTATATTCTAGTTGTAGGTCCTTCTGGCTCTGCTATGTGGGACACCGCCTCAGCGTGGCTTGATGAGTGGTACTAGGTTTGTGCCTGGGATCGGCACTGGTGAAACCCTGGGCCGCTGAAGCGGAGCGTGGAAACTTAACCACTTGGCCATGGGGCGGCCCCTAATGAATTATTGAGAGAAAAGCTCCTTCCCCCACACTTGACTCCTGTGGTAATTATAAACTCCATTTTACCCAGAACGTTTAAGTGCCTCCGTGTCTGTATGACCCAGTGGAGCAGGTGCTGGTGGACTTACAGCTGACGTGATGTTTCACTAGCGCCTCAGGATGGTTATCACCGACTTGGAGTATCTGGTAGTGCTGGAAATGTACGGCATCCTCAGAACCTGCCGGCGGCAGTGGAGCTACCAAGTGCGCTTTCGTGGCCAGTCAAAGCTGTGCCAGGCAGGGGTGATCCAGTCCTGTGGTGGGTGTCAGGGGGGCTCTGTGAGATAAGACAAGGTGCCATAGTGGGTCTCCTGCAGCAGATGGGTGCTGTGGAGAAAATTCAATGATATACTTGTCTCTGATCCTGGACACAGAATCTGTACCTAAAAGGAAGTGACTTCTGAAATAAGGCAATTTTATGAATGTTTAAAATGCCTGGAGCATTAAAGTAAAGTAATGATATCTCAAGTGTTTTTGTCCCATTTTGTTCAATCATCTTATTATGGGTGTTGACCTAGGATACCACCAGTGGTATGAATCCATGATTTTGTTACCCAGCAGTAGGCGGACTTTTCTCTGAAGGGCCAGATAGTAAAAATTCAAGACTTTACAAGCCATACAGGGTCTCTGCTGCATATTCTTCTTTGTCTTTTCCCCAACTCTTACAAAATGTAAAAAACCTTCTTAGCTCATAGGCCATCCAAAAGCAGGCCAGACGTAGCTGTCGTTTGCTGACCCCAGCATCTTACCCAGCACGTAAACCAACAGGTTGTTCTTTGAAACTGATGAGCCTCTCCAGGGCGAAGCATTGAAACAATTTCAGCTGCCAAAATCCAGTCCATCATTTCTCGCATGTCTTGTGCATTGTCTAAATCATGACATAAATTGTGAGGTGAGACCCATGGTTGTAAAAGAGACTTATGAGTGCTTCAAACATGGAATGGAGGTGGGGGTGGGGGGTGCTTCTGAAGTGAGGCTACTTCTGCAATTAGCCAGAAGGCCAAGATGTCCTTACTAAGACTTCACTAAGGCCAGGTAAATAAATACCTGCACATCTCACACACCTCAGGCACTTAGTCTCATGGACAGAAAAGGCTTCGTTTATGTAAACTATAATTAACAGTCACTTCCTGTGTGATGAAGCTGTATGCTTTGGACTCCTTTCCCACATATAGCTGGCCTGCATTCCGTAGCTGCTTCCACTACATAAACATACTTCTGGCACAGAGAAGGGGCCTTCCACACGAGAAAGCCTGGCTTAAGCACCCCGCTCCAAACAAGTTTCTGACGTGACATGACAACGTGCCCACCGGACTCAGTGGAGATTGCACGGGCAAGGTATAGGGACAAGCAGACATGGACCCAGGCAGGCAGCTACTTAGGATCGTGGGAGTGGACAGGTTCAAATCCTTTGGAGAACTTCTCTTAGAGCTTGGTTCCATTTGCTGTCAGTAGCCGCCTCTTCTCCCTAAAGAACCTGAAGTTCTCCCATGGCCCCAGAGATCCAGTAATACTTGAAAGAGGTTTTCCCCAAAGCGTCCCTAAAGGCAGAGGGAAATGAGCCCCCGTCCCATGGGATACTCGGTGGCACAACTTGATTGCTGCAAGCAGAATTCCTTTTCAGAGTTCACATGCGAGGACATCAATGGGAACGGCAGAGTAAGAACCTCTGAAAATCTTCTCTTCCATAAAAGCAATGAGAACACTGGCAAAAACTGTGTGGAAATTAACCAAAGGCTTGCAACAATCCAGGAAACATTTATGAAAGAAAACCAGTTGCATCTTGGTAAGAACAGCAAGCTTTGTGATGTTTTAACGTGCCCTATTTTCACCCCGCTTTCCCTAGCTCCATGTAGCCTTGAGAAACAACAGCTCCACAATCAGTGGTGAAATCCAGCAGCCTAGTAGCCATTGGAGGGTACAGAACAGGGTTGCAGCTCCTCCAAAGTCCATTCCCCGTGAATTGTGATTATTTGACCTGCCTCACAGTTCCATGTGAGTTCCTGTCTTAGGGCTTGTCTTTATCTCATGTGTCTTAGAGTGTGCCTAGTGTGAACAGCCTTTTCCCTGGGTGCATTTGTCAAAAATAATCAGCAGCAATTCTTTAACATCTCAACTTCCTGAGGTGGTTGTAACATTTTGAACAAACAACAACAGACCAAAACATTAGAAGGAAAAGCTAGGAAATGAGATGTCCATAAGAGAGTCTGAAAAGCTTCAACACATTCCTACGAGTATAGAAGGCCACACACATGTGTAGGGCATGTGCATGCCCAGGGGAGACCTGAATTCCCTCAGCTTTTACCTCTGTCTGACCAGAAGGATCTGCACAAGCAGGAAGTGAAGACTAAGGCAGAGTTGCAAATTGCCTTCCTGAGCATTAAGTCATGCCCAACACACACACACACAGAGTCCCTTGGCAAAGATTGAGAGATTTACTGGTTCCAGGCATTTAAGGAAATTTCTGTTCAATCATTGGTTGACCACTAAGCTAACTGAGCAGACACTTCAGTGGCCACACACAATAAAGAATACAGGCTTTACATAATTAGTTCAGGAAAGTCAGTAAATAAACAAAAAGCAACAACAATAAATCCTGGAGAGGGCAAAGTATCTGGTTTCCAAAGTTGCCCCATTATATTATTAAAATTTTCCAATTTTCAACACGAATTATGGGACATGCAAAGAAAAAGGAAAGTATGGCCATAGAGGGAAAAGGCAGTCAACAGAAACTGCCCCTGAGGAAACCCGGGCACTGGACTTACCACACAAAGATTTCAATTCAGCTATTTAAAAGACATTTAAAGCACTAAAAGAGACTATAAGAATGATGTGTCACCAGGGACAGAATATCATTAAAGAGATAGAAAATTGTTTTTTTAAATAGAACCAAGTAGAAACTTTGACATTGAAAAGTACAATAATGCAAATGAAAAATTCAGTAGAGGTGTTCAAAAGCAGGTTTGAGTTGGCAAAAGAAGGAATCGGTGAATCTGAAGTCAATTATTAGATTATCCAGTGTGAGGAACAGAAAGAATGAAGAAAAATGAACAGTACTCTAGAGATCTATCCAGAGACATGTATGTATACCAACATATATGTAACAGGAGTCCTAGAAGAGAGGAGAGAGAAAGGGGCAGAAAACATGTTGGGAGAAAAAGTGGCTGAAAACTTTCCCACTTTGATGAAAAACATTAAAATGCATCCAAAAAGTTCAACAAACTCTTAAGTAGGGTAGACTCAAAGAGATCCACACCAAGACACATCAACCACTAAGAAAATAACTTTATAGTAAAGAAGACAAGGGAACTAAAATGTTACACTAGAAAGTATCTATTTAACAAAACAGAAGGTGGTAATGAAGGATTGGCTGGGGGGCATAAAGCATACAGCAAACAAAGAGCAAAATGGCAGACATAAATCCTTGTTGCTGTTATTGCTGTCAAGTCAATTCCGACTCCTAGTGACCCTGCATACAGCAGAGCAGAACCCTCCCTGGTCTTTTTTCACCATCCTCTCACCTGGCACTATATCAGACAGTGCTCTGCTGCTATTCATGGGGTTTTCATCACTAGCTTTTTTCAAAGTGTAGCCAGGTCCTTCTTCCTAGTCTATCTTACTCTGGAAGCTCTACTGAAACCTGCTGGTATTTGAAATACTGGTGGCATAGCTTTCAGCATCACAGCAACACAGAGCCACCACAGTATGACAACCAACAGATGAGTAGTTGGTTCTCTAACTGGGAAATGAACCTGGACTGTGGCAGTGAGTGCCCTGAATTTGAACCACTAGATCACCAGGGCTGGCAACAAAAAAATTACTTATCAGTAATTTCATTAAATGTAAATGGATTAAACACTCCAATCAAAAGGTAGAGACTGGCAAAATGGATTTTAAAAGAAAATCCAACCATGATCCAACTCTATGCTGTCTATAAGAGATGCACTTTAGACTCAAAGACACAAACATGTGAAAGTAAAAGGATGGAAAAAGATGTACCATGCAAATAGTAACTCAAAGAGACCTTGAGTGGCCATATTAACAGTAGATAAAATAGGCTTAAGAAAAAAATCACTACTACAGACAAAGAAGGACATTTTTTATGATAAAAGGATCAATCCATCAGGATTATAATACATATGCACCTACCATCAAAGCCCCAAGATATATGAAGCAAAAACTGGGAGAATTAAAGGGAGAAGTAGACAGTTCAACAGTTGGAATCATCAGCCCCCCATTTTCAATAATGTATAGAACAACTAGTCAGAAGATCAAAAATGAAATAGAAAATACTATAAACCAGCTAGATCTAACAAATATGTACAGAATACTCCACCCAACAATAGCAAAATACACATTCTTCTCAGGTGCATGTGGAACATTCTCTGGAATAAACCATATGCTGGACCATAAAACAAGCCTCAGTAAATTAAAAGTGAATGAAATCATACTACATCTGTTCTCTCACCACATAGAATAAAATTAGAAATCATTAACAAAGGAATTTGGAAAAAATCACAAATATGTGGAAATTAAAAACACAGTCCTAAATAACTAGTGGGTCAAAGAAGTAGTTACAAGGGAAATTAGAAAGTACTTCGAGATAGATGAAAATGAAAACACAACATACCAACAAACTAATGGAGTTCAGCTAAAGCTGTGCCTAAAGGGAAATTTTTATCTTTAAATGCCTACGTCAAAAAAGAAGATCTCAAATTAATAACTATAAGGTTTCTTCCACTTTAAGAAACTAGAAAAAGAAGAGTAAACTAATCCAAAGAAGGTAGAAAGAAATAATGAAGATTAGAGTGGAAATAAATGAAATAGAGAATAGGAAAATAGAGCAAATCAATGATACCAGAAGGTGTGCTTTGAAAAGGTCAACAAAATAGACAAAACTTAGCTAGACTGACCAAGAAAAAAAATTGAGAACTCAAATTACTAACATTAGGAATGAAAGAGGGGACATTACTACAACACAAATAAAAAGGATTATGGGGAATCCTATGAACAATCGTATGCCAACAAATTAGGTAACCTACATGAAATGGGCACTTGAATTCCTAGAAATTCCTAGAAAGACACAAAACTGATGAAACCAACTCAAGAAGATATAGAAAGTCTGAATAAACCTAACAAGTAGAGAGAGTGAATTAATAATCAAAAATATTCCCACAGGAAAAGCCCAGGACCAGATAGCTTCACGGGTGAACTCCACCAAATGTTTAAAGAGGAATTAATACCAGTCCTTCACAAACTCTTCCAAAAAATAGAAGAGGAGGAAACATGGGGCTGGCCCTGTGGCCGAGTGGTTAAGTTCGCGCACTCCGCTGCAGGTGGCCCAGTGTTTCGTTGGTTCGAATCCTGGGCGCGGACATGGCACTTCTCATCAAACCACGCTGAGGCAGCGTCCCACATGCCACAACTAGAAGGACCCACAATGAAGAATATACAACTATGTACCGGGG